TAACAGCTTAACACGCGGATTATATGTTTTTTTTTTGGGCGAATTACATTCTACGAACCCCCCCTATTGATCCAGCAGATTTATACAGCACTTTTGAGATAACTCGTCAATTCCACATTCCGTATTATAAACTGTATGACATCACATTACGATTAATACCATAATCTAACAAAAGTCGTTGACAACTCACGTTAGTAAAGCAAGCAGGGCCACAAGCGCGACCGTGAAATCAGTCAATTTTCAGTCGGCCAACCTAAAAAAAATTTTTGATACTTGCATATTATGAAATTAAGATCACGTAAATACTTGTGTCAAAATACTTAAACTTGCTTACGGTGAATGTATGATGGTGCAGGTGAGAAATCACGATCAAGCACGGCAGTATCTAGGCACGTATAACATGGTTGTATCAGTCAGCTCCGATATTATTGTTTCTAGTAACACATAGAATTCCGGGCATACTAGTCCTCGGCTGAAATTAGAAACACTCAAGTGACTGGCGAATATCACAGGTCATTAATCCTGAAATTTTCAAAATATTTCAGGACACCTCTTTAAAAATTATCAGCATTAGTATAATTATATTGAAACTGGACGGGCTAATTATATCATCTGGCGAACTCCTTCATAACCATATCCGATAACGGCAGTAATTAGTAGATTAAACCGTGTGTCGCACCCTGGAAACAGTGTCATCATAATGGAGCGCCGTAGAACAGCTCCAGGCTGGATCAATTAATAATAACATAAACCCGCCACGCAAAGGGTTTATATAACAGATCATCCCGCGCTAGCGGGATGATCTGATAAACACATACGAGTGCGCGCAGCGCACGAGTTTTGTGTTAATATGTAATCCCGAAGCGCCAGCTGAGGGATTACATTAATTTAGCCCTGAGCGTGAAGTGTTTATGGATTATAATTATCTCCGGCGATTTCGAAAAGGGATTTATACTTTATATATTAGAAGAGAGTGATAAAATAGTTTTTAATCAATCTGAATGTCAAACCGATCTGTCATAGTGGAGCAATAGCTTGAACGTTAGCAGGAACAAGAGCTGGAAGGAGAGCAAGCAAAACAATACTATTTTTAGGGCACGGACAAGGGTAGCTGGCTAGTCGCCAACTTCTCACGCCACGCGTTGGAGAAATTCCAAGAATTAGCTGCTTTGGCAACGTTCCCAGGAATTTGCGTGTAAAAGAAGTGGACGGTTACGATGTTTCATATCACGTGGTGCGCTTTCGTGTCACGTGGTATAGACTCGGCGTATGCAGCTATTGGTGGCACGCGGTACGCACGTGACGCGCCCACGTGATCGCGCGTCTAACTGTTCTACTATTATCGAGTTCTAATCAGCAGTATCATTGATTATTGTAAGTCGGAGGATTGAATGATAAACATCAGTTACGACTAAAAAGCGGGCCGGGTTTATACAAATTTCCGGGGCGGGATGATATCACCTTGAGATGTTTATCTAACAGCGGGCCGGGCTGAGTGATAATATGATCCCGCGTCGAAATCCCGGAGATATTTATAACAGCAACCTTGCTGACAGCAGCCGGGCCAATTAAGAGTCCGCCTACACTAAATATCGAAGTCATCTAGAATCTAAGGTGTTAACGAGCACGCATAGCGCATTTAAGTGCTCATGCATGGGCCGAACGTACGTGACACAGGGTCAGACAGGACCTAATCTTTTCAATAAATGTTACATCACGTAAGAGGCGTACCAAATGAGCACCTGTCTAACATAAGTAGTGTAGCGTTCATGAGCAAACACTCAATGTGTCAAAGTGTGGCACAAGTTTAACTGGTGAGTAATGGCGATTGTGAGTATTGACTCAAAACCTGCAGGGTGCAAGCGACCCTGACCCGCTCAGTAAAAAAGACCTGGTACCGAATCAGCACATAAAGTCACGTGACACCACACAGTGTAAATCACTACCAAGGCGACCCACGTACCAAATGTGTAGAGCTGCCTAATTATTGGCATGATGTACTGTCATCCCATTAGACCTCCAACAGCAATAATATATATATTATTAGTGTATTAATGCTTTTCAAACAAAGTCCCAACGTCTCCAAGTACAGCATACTAGATCCAATGTTGGACAAGATAAGCTAATTTAAAATATTTTCATCACGAAACAGGGCATAAACCCCGAAAAATGGAATATTTCTAGTGCTGTGATCTATGTGGACTAGCTATACGATCGTACTAAATTTACACATCTTTTATATTGTTAAACTATAAGTCACAACAGCCTCTAATCGATCTGTGGGCCCAGCTGAGTTGGTGCGGCTTGGTTGCCGCGGGAGCAAAAGGGGGATAGTTGAGAGCACCCTATAAACGCTTAGCTAGTGCTATAGTGTACCTGTCTCCCTGTGTTTCAGCGAACCGATGGGTCAGCGGCAATTCTGTTAAAACAGATTGTTGGGCACAGGATGATGGTGCGAGTATTCCTCATGAATGCGCTAATTCTCCCGGAAAGCGGATTGGGGATCAGTCGGCTCGATCTACGCCCGGGAGCAACTAATCCTGCTTTTGGTTCTGCGGCGGCTAGCAGCGCGGGCTTGGTGTGTGCACAAAATCGCTTGGGCTGTGTAATCACACTAATATAACTAAAATGCACACATTACAGAAAGTAAATATGAACTCTCCTCCGTTCCAATCTGAAGATTCAGCACTAACGGACCTGTCGATGGCGAAACGGCAGATAACATTTTTCTTATCGAGCGAATTCGTCGGTCTAGTTTTAGGCAACGGCCAACGAAAGGCATCACCGGCGAACCGCAACCAGCTCCCGAGGAGCATAGTAAAGATAATTGAATCCCGTGGTGTGGCGGTCGAAGCAAGTAGGATCAGCAGTTTCACGAATAACTCAGTAAGGCGCCTGACCATGACGGGGCCAGCGTCAGCTTTATTGGGCGCCCTTAAGATTTTAAAGAAAATCCTGATGGCGCCATTCGTGAAGGAGTTGGGGGAAAGCATTGAAGTGGCGACCTTAGATCGTGGATGGCGACCAGAAGCGCCAGGCTTAACTCTCAATAAGCGACAGAGCCAGGCTCTGGTCGACATACAGAAGGTAGCGGCGCTCACGCTGTTAAACGTATCAGTCACGGTAGGCGAAACCGACTGGTAGGATAAGGTAAACTGTTAAGGCAGAGTAAGAGTGGCGAACAATATAGTGGCGAACAAGTTAGGGCGGACTGGCAGTAAATGCCAGTATTATATAATTTATTTATTTCAAGTTTGAATACATCCCTACACTTGTTTAATTGTATAAAACAACATGTGTGTTTTCACAAAGCATGCAGCACACTCACCAATCCGGTCACCAAAGGTATAACTATAAGTGGATAAGATAACCATGAAATCACCACCAATTAATTTATATACTACTTAAATACGGCGATCCTGGCCGACAACGGTACCGGCCTATATACTATAAATACTTATATTAACGTAAGGTAAGGATAAGTGAGGGCGCACAGTACTACAGTGGCCAGCTTAAGCTACAGGAGGTAATCATCAGGTACATCAAATTCATTCACTTATCAATTCACTCATTCACCATTCATTTCACCAGGTAAAAGGTTTCATTAGGCAACTGTAGTAAAGCAACCTCACTTTTATGAATAGAGCTCTTAGAATAGAACTGATGATTAACCGCCTACATTTTAAAGTTGAAATTCGCCGCTATATAAAATGCACGTGCATATGAACCGCTATATAAATGATATTCCGATAAAGCGCTATATAAATGATGATGCTCACCGGTATAAAAAATGGAGATGTGTTTATGTATATAAAGGTTGACCGGTTATTTTATTCCTCCAAAAGTGAGAAGATCGATGATAATTAAAGCACGTTTTGCGGCGCGATATAAATAGCATGCGGCGGTATAGAAATAGCCAAGTTAATATTGAAGCGGGATGATATTTATAATGATAAATAAGCGGTAGTTGGCGCCTAATTTAATGAAATATTATATAAGTATAACAATATGGGCACTGGGCCGTTATTATATATAAAACGAAAAAAAAAAAAAAAAGGAGAGTAGTAAGGTGAGCAAGGGTGACCGGATACAGGCTGTCATGACACACTCAAATACGCACTGGTTATTATTTTTTTTTTTATTTAAAAGCCACGATATTATTTTAAAAAGCTACGATATTATTTTTAAAGCTACGAACATGACCCAACTAATGTAAAGCCCCAATTAGATAACATGGCTGAGTTCATAGACGAGTATACACTTGAGGTGATCCAGAAAATTAAGAAACGAACTAGTCAACCGACAAGCAGGGTGGCAACAGCAAGAAAGATAGCCTTAAAACAAATCATATTAAAAGAGGTGGCGCCCCTCCTACTTATCCTTGAGGTGCAGGGGGCGACAGACTACGACGCCGTGGCAAAGACGGCTCAAGAGGCGTTGGCACGAATAGAGCACGCCGTCTTTAGGGCGTGCACCGAAGACCTTGGCGATTTTCACGCTGGGAAAGAGTGGCGAGCTGCGATTCGCCACCGAATGAGGAAAATCACATTGGCGGCGAAATATCAGCCGGAGGATGTGGAGCGGCGAGTCCGAGAAGCGGTACAATTAGGCGAAAAGCTCGACATCTGAGGTGGCGACCAAGCATGGCACGGCGATGGGTGGATAAGCACGTCCCTCGATATTATATATTATTGTTGTGAAATTGTATTAAACTGTAATAAGCGTACCTTTAAAATAAAGTTCAAAACACTGCTGTAGACTCACTAAAAAAAAATTAACCGTTGTATAAAAGGGTCCTTGAAATTCATGGTGTACTAAATAACAATGTCTCAACACTACGGTAAAGATCCAATCAATCTTAGTGCAATCACACGTTCTTTTATCAACCAAAATACAATTTTACTGCGGCACCCTGATTGAAATTGAAGCTTTACTGTAGTACACAATCAACAAAACTTTACAAACAAAGTTAAATTAAAATTAACCAACTCACTCCCAGGATGACAGAGTCAGACATAGTTAGAATAGGAATTGACTTAGGGACAACGGTCGTGGTGGTAGCAACAACGGAGGGAGAAGTGCCAAAGGTATGCCAACAGTTTCCGGCAATCGTAAACCTGTCCACAAACAAGGTCGGCGAGAAAGCAAAGATTGACGGCAAACCGCAAGACATAATCTACGAAGCAAAGAAATACATGGGGGCGACGGCGGTCGAGGCGGCGACCATCACCAAAGAAGCCCATCACCCATACAAGATGGATGGTAACATGTTTGTCGGGACAGACAAAACGAAGACGCGACCAGAAGAGTTGTCGGCGGCGTTACTAAAAGAAGTTAAGGCGAACTTTCCAGGCAAGCAGGTAGAGGCAATCATTACAGTACCTGCATACTTCAAAGACGCTCAGCGTCAGGCAACCAAAGATGCGGCTGAATTAGCAGGTATCAAAGTGCACGAACTTCTCAATGAACCCACAGCGGCAACACTTACCTACACAGATCTAGTTCCATCTGGGGCGAAGATCCTCACGTGTGATGTAGGCGGCGGCACACTTGACATCTCAGCGATTACCAAGACCGACAACAAGCTGAAAGTCGAGGCGACGTCCGGCGACCCCCACATGGGCGGCCGTCAAATCGACCGAATGCTAGCGAACTGGGCACTAAAGAAAACAAAGAAGAAAACGACGACTGTGACGGCGAAGATGCTAGAAGATTGCAATCGGGCAAAACACTTATTGACGACCCAGGATCAAACGGAAATCCAAATACTGGGCGAAAAGGTCAAGATATCGCTGGTGGAGTTTGAACGCCTGGTGAGGCCATTCCTCACCAGAATAAACACATACATCGATAATACGTTAGAACTGGCAGAATGGACAAGAAAAGACGTGGATATTGTGATATTGGCGGGCGGAACGAGCCGAGTGAGGGTGTTGCGAGAAATCGTGGCAGAAGAGCTGCCGGAGGCATCGATCATGAACGGCGTCGATGAGGACGAAGCAATCGCTCTTGGGGCGGCGCATCGTTTAAGGGCCCTCACAGCACCTCCTGAGGCGACCGGAATAGTAATGGTAACCGAAATAGCAGGAGAGACGATCGGAGTGGGCACGCTTGGCGATGTGTTCTCCCCAATCCTTTGGAAGAACACACCCCTACCGGCGACACGAACCCTACCGTACAAGACGTCGGCGGATTTTCAAAGCCAAGTCCTGATAGAGGTAAAGGCAGGCGATGATTGCTGGGCGTCCAACAACAGGCTGCTGGGCGTGTTTCATATGGAGGTACTCCCAATGCCACGGGGCGAACTGACAGTTTTTGTAACATTTAAGATGTCAGTAGACAACATATTGACAGTAGTGGCGACAGAAGATGGTGGTTTACGCAGAAAGAAGACAGTCTGCATAAAAAAGACTGGGGACAGGAATCTTACTAAAGAAGAAATGAGTATTTGCTTGGCAAAAGCGGAGAAGGCGGCGGCGCAGGAAATATCGTAGCAGTTTCAAGTTTTTTCGGCGAATTATAACCTTAACCTGGGTCGAAAGGCTAAGACAAGTAATATTATCATGGGAACTATTATATTTATAGGTAATCTTATTTATCTGATGGGCGACTTTATGTATTTTAAGGACAACCTTATGTATTTTATGGACAAACCGGAGTTGAAAAGTACGTGAGATAATTTTTAAATGCGCCGTATTTTGCGTATTTTTGCTTAGAAATAAAATACGTCAGGAATACGTTAAACTACGTGTTTTTAAAAAAAATTTCATTCAAAGACTAACTTTAGTCACTAAAGTTATGTCGTTCGTTTGCATTTTTTTCAGACACAGTTCTATTTAACTTCAACGCTTTAATGCTTTGGTATAGCACGTGCCCAGAACTCTGAAGTCATATGCGAGGTGAAAAACGACAGAGCTACGCGAGTTTTGATAAAATCGTAAATTTATATAAAGCAATAGTACTTATTATTTTATTGGAGCTATCAATGGTACAATAACACTTTTAACGTATTTTATTCAACGAAATAAAATGCTCCGTATTTGACGTATTTTTGATGTTTTATAAAATTCGTAGAATACGTATTTTTCAACTCTGGGACAAACTTATCTACTTTATGGGCGAATTTCATTATTATATGGGTAATTGTATATGGCAACTGTACTCAAGATATAACCAGGGTATTTTTTTTTTTTTTATTATACTATTTAAATACAACATATTACAACTGACCAACGGCGTTTTAATAACTGGCTATGAAGTTCAACAACCATGAAAAGTATAAAATTCTGTCCTTGAAAGTTATCAATTTCATTGCTAAGCGATATAGTATTATCCGCATGTAAGGGTTAAATCGTATTGCACCTAAGTACGTTGTATTCCACTATTCTAAACACAAAAACTCACCGTAAACAGGGACCATGAACAATGACGGACGGCAGCGACCTCCGGCAGCGGCGGCACCTGCAGCAGCTGCAGCAGCAGCGGCGGCGGCGGCTCCAGGAGTCCAACACCCACCAGCATATCAGCCCAGAATGCCACTGCATCCACTCTATGTGAGGGCCCCACCTCAATTCAAAAGTGGATCTGATCTGGAATTGTACTTACAGCGGTTCCAGGCTTATGCAAGGTCAGCAAACTGCCCTAATGAAGAACAGGCGGATTTACTCATCAGTCTACTGGACGATAAGGCACTAAGCAGCCTCACTCGACTATTAGCAGATGGCGAAGACTACGACCTGGACGATGTAGTAACACAACTAAGGAGAGCAGAAGGGTACAACCAGAATAGTGAGAAGTATGTCGCGGAACTTAGAAATAGGCGACGTCTAAAAACTGAAGGTAGTTAACTCTAAAGTCGAAATTTGAAACGTACGTAGTAAGTCACGTGTGAAAAAGTGTGTAGGCGAATGACTATATAAAGTTACACGTGCGTCCGTGAGTGTATGCGTAAGTTCGAAGTGATCAAATTAAAGTTTTAAATGTAACAATAAATGTGAACCTACACGTAACTATTAGGAATAATCTATTTAATTTTATCATGAAAAATCAACAGGTATCTGGGAATATTTCCTGGCACTTCAGAAGCTCAGTGGTAAAGCGTACCCCGACAACGTGGCTATGAGAGAGGGCTCTCTCCGAGAGTCGTTCATTGCCAACATCTCGGACCCGTACATAGCGTCAAGACTACGGGAACTACAGGAGGTGGATATGGAGCGTTTACTAGATGCGGCGATCATGCTACACGGCTGTCAGTCGGCATCATCACGGTCAGTGAACTTTGTTGCAGAAGAAGAACCCAAACCAAGAGAGTACGATGTGACATCTCGATTGGACGAGCTATCACTCCGACTAGACCAACTGGCAGTCAACCAAATCTACAACAACAGGCAACCCGAGTCAACATCACATCAGGACAAGCAGGCGTATCAACCACCATCTTATCGATATGATGGACCACGCGACTCATTTGCCCCTACCGAATGGAGACCGAGACCTAGGCAAACTTACCAATATAATGCAGGCCCACGAAACTTCAACAGAACAACATATCGATACCCAAACCAAAGATACCAAGAGCAGAGACCAAGAAACCCAAACCAGGGTCAACGAGGAAAACAAAGTTATGTACCACAACAAAGACCACAAGGAAACTTCAATCGGCGAACCAACTTTTCCAACTCACAACCACCAGAAAGCTGGATTGAAGAAGTAGTAAAGCGAATCAAAGACGTAGAAAGGCAACACATCTCCAATACTGCAAACAATTTAAACTCCTCACGGCCCCAGTAGATACTTGGGGCCACCTAGACGACTTAGAGGAGTATTGTGCAGAAACAAAGTCCGACCACGTGGTAACTTGTCAGAACATTACCACCCCTCCATTGCCTTATGTCGCATTGACCGTCAACGATGTCCCAATAAAGGCCCTCCTAGACACTGGCGCTGCTGCATCGATAATACAACATTCATTTTTGATCAACAACCAACCTCTCAACCTGGAAATTGATCCCGATGACACAAGACTAGTTGGACCAAACGATAGCGAAATAGAAACGTTTGGTAAAACAAAACTCCAGGTAACAATCGGATCCGACAATTATACAACGAATGTAATAGTGGCGAACATATCACAGCTCCTCATTCTTGGCAACGATTTCCTTCGTCAGCATAAAATGGTGTTGGACTTTGACAAGCAAAGTCTAAGCACACAAACAGGAAACACGGTGAGGGTAATGACAGTTACCCAGAAACAAAATGATCACCAGTATCCAGCTTTAGCAGCTATAACGTGTGTCATTAACCCAGGACAACAGCAGCAACTCCCCCTCCAGCTCCCTCCTGAACTCTCATCAGCGGAAGAAACCATGTTCGTACCACATGATGACTTCGACTTCTCTTGTTCCATCCTGCCCCATATCTGCCAAACAAAGAAGACTGAGAACACAGTTAACATTGTGATCAATAACTTACACGACGAACCAATATTGATCGACCAATATGATGACATAGGGCACCTAACCGAGGGACCGGTTCCATCAGATGTAAAGTACTTGAGATCATGCTCAACGGCGGAGCAGATCAATGAAGTAAAACCACTAAACATCTCACCTGAAAAAGACGGCGAAAGATGGCTCACACTCCTAAAGGCTCTAAAAGAAGACAAGTGGCAGCTTAATGATGAACTGAGGCCGAAAGCCCTAGAGATGCTATACAAGTACAGGTTTTTGTTTAACCTCAAAGGCGAACCATGGGGTCTGTGTGATCAAGTCTTTCATACGGTCGAATTGACCACAGATACACCAATTAAGCAAAAACCCCGACCAGTACCACCAGCACATAGAGAGGAGCTTGAGAAGATCATTAATGACTTATTGGAAAGAAACCTGATCGAAGAAACAACCAGTCCCTGGTCCAGTCCAATAGTACTTGTTAAGAAAGCAGACTCCACTCTTAGGATTACTATAGATTATCGTAGGCTGAACCAAGAGACAGTTGCAGATAGCTATCCCCTGCCCAACGCCCAACACCTACTCGCCACCATACAAGCTTCACCAATCTACAGCACCCTAGATCTATGTAGTGGATATCTACAAATAAAAATGGCCGAAAAAGACAAACTAAAGACCGCATTTGCAGTGCCAAATGGTCTCTTCTGCTTTAGGGTTATGCCCTTCGGAATGAAAAATAGTCCTGCAACGTTTCAAAGAACTATCGACAAAATCTTTGCGCCGATCTCCATTTTCGATTTGGCGAAATATCTCGACGACCTCCTCTGCCAAGGAATCACAGAGGAACAACATCTGGAAATCCTAGAGAGAGTACTACAAATCCTATGGGAACAAAATCTAAAAATAAAAAGCTCCAAGTGTGATCTCTTCAGGAAAAAGCTGACCTTTCTCGGCTTTGTAGTGTCTGCCGAAGGAATACAGTGTGAAGACGCAAAAGTAGAGGCGATCAGAAACTATCCCACCCCGACATCCGTGAAAGAAGTGAGACAAGCACTGGGACTATTTTCCTTCTACAGGCGACATGTAAAAGGATTTAGTGCTATTGCCAAGCCACTCCACAATCTAACTTCTAAATCGGCTGTGTTCGAATGGGATTCAGACTGTGAGAAGGCGTTCCAAGAACTAATCAAAAGACTAACATCAGCACCAACACTAGTTAATCCAAGATCTGGCGAACAACTTGTTCTAACCACGGATGCCTCACAAACGGCTGTCGGAGGAGTCCTGTCAGTTGTCCGGGAGGGACTACGTCATCCTGTGTGTTTTGGAAGTCACTTGCTCAATACGGCTCAGTCTAAATATTCAGCAACAAAACGTGAACTTCTGGCGATAGTTTACTTTGCACAAGCGTTCAAATTCTATATACTGGGTCAACCAACAGTAATCTTTGAAACAGATCACCGCCCCCTTACCTGGTTAGCTTCCTTCCACGATCCACCAAGTATAATCTCGCGATGGTGCGAGTTACTTTCACAGTTCCACTACACTATCGTGTACCGAGCCGGATCAGAGAACAAAGCAGCGGACGCTCTCTCGCGCATTGCACTTCCTCCTTCAGAACACTCCACCCTCGGGCGATCAAAGATTCAAATCAACCTCATCTCCGATAAAAGAGATCCAAAAGCTACTATCGACATTGAGCTTGGTGAAGAACCAGTGGACATAACTGCACCAGAAAAGCAGACAGATGGCGAAAAACTGTCTGATATACTGGGACAAGAACAGATGAAAGACCCAGCGCTCAAAAGACTGTACGAGATCCTGTTCGAAAATAAGGCTATGGCTTTAGACCTGGAACCTCCGGTTACCAGATTCTACTATCATAAACGCGACAAAATAACAACGTTAAAAGATAGTAAAGTGATGGTGTACACCAATAAAAGTGGCGATAAAAGAATGCTGGTACCCCACCATAAACGACTCCAGGTCCTCAAAGCAGTACATAGCGACCCCACGGGTGGTCACCGATCTGCGGCGAAAATAAT